ACACACACACACACACACACACACACACACACACACACACACACACACACACACACACACACAGTAAGACAAGAGAGAATATAGTGTAACAAATTAAAATAACTGCTTTTTTATATAATTGAAGAAGCACAAATAAATGTTTTTTTCCCAAAAACATGTAAAATGCAAATGAAAGATTCAGTGCAATGATTTTCAAACCCAACTCTGCTACTGTATCCAAGCTTAGCTTATTTAGGAGAGCTAAAGTTCGTATTTATTAAGCATGCCAGCAGTAACATGTCAGGACCGAGGAAAGAGTGGTGACATATTTTAAACACATATTGAATAATAATCACATTCATTATAGCAGAAGTAATGAGCTCAGTCAGCGAGCAGTAGGGAGCTGTCTCTGCTCACACAGATCATTTGTACACATCCTGGTTCTTGCTTAGAGGAGATTCATTTTCATCTCACTCGCTCTCCGATCAGTAAAGCATGAATAAGGCATTCCAGGTATGTGAAGCCATTCAGAGCTTTTCCTTCTTACTGTTGACTTAAATTTAAGAAACTTTGCTAAACCTGAAAGCAGTTTTCATCACTACAACCCGGCTCTCAGAGCATGTTTATCAGAGCTTGTCGTAGTTTAAGTATATGGGTACAAGTGCTGCTGTTACACACATGATCACTTGTATTTTTGATCGTCAGATTACATATTCTAATAATCATCAGGGTCCTCAGTGTACTTAAATCAATGTCGCTACTGTAAGGATTTGCAGTAGGACGTGAAGGTGGCCTCTCATGATTCTCAAACACTTTGCATGGTAAATTCCTGTGTTGGCTAGCTTGGACTGTGAGCAGCGCAGATATTCCGGTGTCTTACAGTACGGAATAAACAACGTTTTCACTGTTTGCACGAAGGAAATGGCACACTAGATACAGTCATTAAAATGACCATTCTTGTGTAATATTTGTGAAAATTATTTAATTTTGGGGAGTGAATTATTAAGCATAGTTAGTATTTTCAGTTGCTGTTCTTAGTTATTTAAAGTTTTAAGGAAGAAGCTTCACTTTGGCTCAGAGTAAATGAGAGCAGAGACCATCTGTTCAAGTTAAATTGGTGCACAGGAAAAATCTCTGTCTCCTGCTAAAAGAGCTGCTGATCAAAAGCAATGACAATATCCCAGTCAGCTAAAGAAAATAGGACAAAAACCCAGGCGTTTATGTGTATTACGAGACGGAGGTTGACATCTGAAAGCTGGCAGCTCCTCATATTTGGAAAGTTAAGGATAGCAAAATGAGTCTTATGTGGCTGTTTGGAACTCCAGTAAAGGTCAAAGTATGTTTCCAGACAGAAATCCTTGGATTATTAGCAATCGAGTTCAGAGCTTCGGATGAGACTGTGTGTGACTGTGGCTCACAGGTGGTTTTTAACTGCCAGCTGAACCTCGGTGAACACAACACGTATACATCAAGGAGAGCTTAAAACCTAAAGTGTGATTTCATATTTAATGTTACGGATGAGCTGATGAGTCTGTGGTCAGTCGTGTCTGTGAACACTGGTGAACACATAATTATCTGATGACATTTTGATGGCTGTGTTTGAACACTGGACACACCTGCCTCGCTGTCTCTCAGCCTTAACACTGGAGCAGGTTGCTGTGCTGCTCTTCAGCAGCGCCGGGTTTTGATTGCCACTAACCCTTTTTCCTTCCAGCTGCTCTGAAGAACTGGAACACTCGATGAAGAAAAGGCTGTGAAGAGGAAGCAAAATGAGAGCGGGAACACTTCTCTCCCTCTTTTCCCAGTGTCTTGTGTGTTTTCTCTTTCTGTCTGTCTCTCTCTTCATTTTTTGATCAAAGCAAGGACCCCCTCTGTCTGAGTGTCCCAACTGCTTTATGGGCCTACCTTTAACCCCCACCCCCTTTGACCCTTTCTATATAGCGCTACTCCTCTGTTCCTTCTTCCTCCTCCCTCCTCCTGCTTTCTGGTGATAGTACCTGATTGCCTGTCTTGTCTGAGCAACCATGTTCAAACCGAATCAGGTGGATATGGGGATTAATCCTCAGTGCACGAGAGGAAAGAGTGACTATGGGTTGGGGGACCTTTTGTTAGACTCTGTGGTTAAAAATGGAAATCTCAATTGCAGCCTGATCTTAGAGAAAGCTCCCATAAAAGCAAAGCTAACCTCCTCCTCCAGCTCTCTCACTACCTCCTCACCCTCCATCTCACAGACTGGTTAAAAACCAAAGTCGCTGCAACTCCATCCACTTGTACCTGTTCTTGCTCCATACATGTTAACCGAGGAAAAGGGACTTGGAGGGTTCACCCATCCTCACCTTATTACCTGCCATTCCTGCTGCATGCGTCGCTCACATGCCACATCGACCGTTTGTCTTTCATTAATCTGTCTGGCTGTTTGTTTGCTTGCTCAGCTGCATAGGAGAGCCTGTAATTCACTTTTGTTCTTTTTCCTTTCAATTTTCTTTCTTTTTTAATTGAAGGACTTTTCTTTTGCTGCTGCTGCTGTTGTTTGTAGCAACACTGGTCCTTCTGTTTCGTCCCCAGTGCATTGGTTTTACCATCTCCTCCTCGCTGTAGTAGTAGAGTGGTTCAATTCTTCCCACTCCTCATTCTCTGTAGGTCTGGCTCTCTAAAGCAACTCCCCTCTCTATGGGACTTCGACCACCACTTAGTCCCATAGACTCTTTAGGGATGAGTGGCTGGGACCTCTCTCCCTCAACCCCTTCTAAACCTGTCTGACACATCCACATCCACTATGTCTCCCACTCTGACAGATTATTTCACACAAGAGATGGTATGCAGCAGCTCCTGCTTCGGCACTCACACACATTCAAATAACTACATTTTATCCACTAGCTCAGCACCAGAAAAGCCTGCATTCATCCCTGAGTGTGCTTCAGAGAGCCCTCCACTTTGTCCATCATGTGCCTGAGAGGAGAGGGAGAAAATGGTCGCAGGCTGAGGCAGACGTTAATTGCCCCCTTATCTATGCCCCTTTCCCCCATCCCCACCTCATGAGACCGAGCATGTACATCCAAGGCCTGTCCTTTTTGAAGCGAGTGGCGTGCATTCACAGAGATGCTCATTCAGGCCTTAATGGCTCAAGCCCAATAAAAGACCACCTCCCTCTCCTGCTCATCGCCAAACCTACCATCCCCAATGCAGCACATGCATGCCTTTTTAACAGCCATCCGACTGCCTTCTTCCACCCCCACCCCACCTCCGCTGCCCAGCCTTTGGGAATGTGGTTTTTCCAGCGTTGACTGTTAAAGCCAGTTGTGACATGTGCCATAGACAAACAGGCAACCAGCGCTGCCCCCAGACTACCTCCTCCTGTTTTTTGTTTCTCTGCATGCTCTCCTTACACCCCCTTCAAACCCCATCCCTTCAGACCTCCTTCCTTCATATAGCTCTCCCACTGTGGGGCATGATGGGACTGATGTTTTTCTTCTTTCTCTGCTCTTCTGTGTTTTTCATTCCCGCTCAATCATATCATCTTTGCTCAGTTCTTCAGGCAACTCCTTCCACCCTGTGACCTCTTGTGCATCACTCTTTCTGCTCTTTCTTGTCATCCCTCTCGTCTCTGTGCCCACGTTTAAGGCAGCTCATCTCGAACACGTTCCACGAGTGACTTCCCCTCCCTCTCTTTCTCGTGTCCCTCCATCCTAATGTGAGGAAATCATTGCTGACAAAGCATGGCTGGTCTAAGACAGAAGCTCCATCAAAGAAATAAACCCCGATCCCACTGTTCATCCCAACCCCATCCCACCCCTAAAACCCCACACCGCTATCATTAAACAAATATGTGGGCCCTGAAGCTCCTCCCCTTCCCTACCTATTGTCTACCTACCGCTTCATTTTGAAAGCTCCACACTGATACTGATCATTTTCATTTCATTTTGTTTTGTTCTTTTAATTTGCTCTGGGGGTTCATCATTTGTTTGGGGATTAACACTCTAACAGGGATTTTGGCGCCTCTTCATCGCTTCTTGCTTCTTGGCTTTGGTTTTTTGCTCAAACGCCAAGAGGGGCTGAAGGTCTGGTCATTTGGGCTTCTCATTAACCTGCTGCTCACTGTTTGTCCCCTTGTTACTTGTGTTTTAGAGAAAGATGAGGCTGCAATTGAGAGCTCTGAGTTCAATGCCACGTCAGTAGCTGATGTGGACAAGCGGGTGAAACGGCGGCTACTTATGGGTAACTCTTTTCTTCCTCTTTCTATGTGTTGCTATGGCGCTTGTGCTTGTATTCCCGACTCTACTCCTATCCACGCCCTTCTCCTTCTCCTCTCTAACTAAATTTTATCAAGAGAAAATTGGAAACCCTTCGGGGCTCACTGCATCTACCCCCACAGTCACAGTTTGCTTTATTTTTTTTCTCATATCTGATGAGATTTAAAAACACGGGTAAAGCAAGTCTCACTGAATAACTCTACTTTTCAAACCTCTGGAGGCCTCGAAGGTTTTCTCAGTGACTAACATTTACTTTCCCAGTTATACTCCAAATGTTTTGTTTTCCACTTCCTGTATTTCTGATTACTGATGCTCCAAAACAAAAGGCTTTATAGAAAAATAAAGGTCATAGACCCAACTTTCCCCATGTTGACACAAGTGTAGCATAAAAGGTTCCAGCTGTACTTAGCAGAACGTTCTCATAACCGTAGCCATCGAAGAGGTAAGAGGCTGTGAAACTGTAGCAGCCAGATCCCTGGTTCACATTGATGGTTCAGTGATGGTTTGTACCACTTTATGAGGATGTATCCATCTATTCCGCCTTTAAATTTATTGCAGATCAGCGTCTGTGCTATTGGTGAAAATTTTGGAGCCACTAATCTTAATCCCAATTGTAATTAATTCCAAAAACACCAAGGGTGGGCTAAAAACATCAAACTACGATTGAGTTAATGAAGGTTTGGAGCCTACCATCAAGCGTGGTTACTTTAACACCTTTAAAATGACTTTGTAGCACCTCAATCAATCAGATTTTCACCAAATCAAATGGGTGGATCAGTCAAGATGTGCCTTTTCTGAAGCAACACATTTCTACTCTACTTAAATGCCTGGGGTCTTTTTGTTTCTCAGACAGGAGTCGAGCAACTTAAAGTCCTGCTGTTACCAAATGTCCTGTATACTCTGTGGTCCATTAAAACATGTTTCAAACTTACACAAGTTTTCTTTAAGCAGGTTCTGGCCACTGTGGCTTGAAGCAAGGACGGAAAATTGAGTTTCGCAGGCTTCCTCATTCCTCTTTAGCTTTTCTTCCATTTTCTCTCCACTCCCATTCATCTTTTTACCAAATTTTTGATTTGCTCACATTCTAAACCTTGCTTCATCTCTTGTCATATCAGCAAGCCTCCTCTTCTGATTTTGCCCCAAAAGTAGTGTTACAGGTTTGCTGAAAGTCTGTCATGTATGCCACGCTGGAATGGCACAAACCTCCACAGAGAAACACGATTCTGTAACAAGCAGCGCCTCTAATTCATTCATGTCATGTGTAATAAAGATCTACTCTTTCCTTTTTTGATGCCTAGCTGGTTGTCAACAAGATCTTTCCATTTTAGCTTTTAACCATTAACCATATCGGCTGGACCAATAATAACCATGCAGCAGACTCCCATAAGAGCTGAAATAAGTCGTGTTGGACAGCTCCATGTCCAAAGTCTCTATTGAGACTAGATTTACAGCAAACAGCAGGTGACACATGTGTTACCCAAACCAAACTAAATACTAAGAACCCATCTGACGTGACAAGTCAATTCCTGATAATAACTGCTGTTGAATTTAAATTTGACTGACACTGATAAATGCTGATTTGTGCCCTAACATATCATAGAGAGATGTTAGCCTGGTCCTAAACATGACCCTAATTCTGTAAAACATTAATACCTCACATGCTTCCTTCAGATCTGTGAGCATAAATATGTATATGTGCTTCCTTAGAGCACAGAGACCTCACCACTGCTGCACTGAAACTGTCTGAGAGCATCAGTATGTTAGATTTGACACTACGATCATTTTTCTCTCTGCTTCTGAGAGAAATGGTGCTGCAGTGTCCACCCTCGTTGTTGCAGATGACACAGTGTTTAAGACTGATCGAGCTGCAGCCGAGGCTCTAATGAAAATGTGCTGCTAAAACGAGCCATAAGGAGAGGGAGAGGGCAAATAGGGAGGAAAGAGACTAGGCTTAAATCATTCTGTGACAGCTCATGGTGTTAATATTGTATGAGCAGCTAAAAGTGGATCAGGTACAGGAGAGAGCAAAATGTAAAAATAAATAAATAAATGGTGCTACAAGGGAAATCATCACAGTTGATCGTGTGTCATGTGTGTTTATGTGTGTGTTTATCAGTGTTGGGAAGGTTACTTTTAAAATGTATCCCAGTACAGATTACAGATTACATGCCCCAAAATGTATTTTGGAACGTATTCTGTTACGTTACTCAATGAGAGCAACTGTAACGGAATACAGTTACTCATATTTAGTATTTTAAATATGTAACGGCGGCACATGTATTCCGTTACTCCCCAACACTGGTGTTTCTGTACATAGCTCAGTAACATGGCCACCGCAGGATCGACAGTGGATCTTGTCGAGTGCTGAGAGGTCATGCCACTGTTCCCTTTTTACAGCAGTGCAGCAGGTCCTAATCCTTTCTGCTTTAGCATGCACAGTTTTATGCTCCCCAGCTTAAATAAATAGGAGATGTGTCCTCCTCTCATGGAAAGAGTTGGCAACAGCAGTCAGTGTTAATATGTAAGGAGTGTAACAGATATGTATGTACAACTGTTTTACCTTTTATTCCTCTTCTCCTGTGTGGCCTGTTGTAATCCTGACAGCTGAAGCTGGACTCTTCTTCAGTCTGTATCATCTTCCAGCCTCCTCTCAACAATAGCAGTTTTAAAAATGGCCACATCAACAAGTATAAGCATATATATGTTTATGGTCAAATATTAAAATTATGTAAAATATAAATATACTACAAAATAGCTCTACTGGGCTGAGCTAGGCTTTACATGGGGTATTATCATCCCCACACCAGGTGACGTGGACGCCAACGTTTGTGAATGCTACAACTTGAGAACAAGGTGACGTAAGATTTTGTAGTTGATACCTTAGTTGCGTCTGTTAGGAGGCTGAGGGGGTAGCACTGGCAGTTGCCAGTATTTTTTAATAAATGGAGCTGGGGGATGATCACTATGTGAGGCTGTCAGGGACTTGGGCGTGTTTTTGAGGGATTAGCTCACATTCCAGCAACAAACAGTGCTCTAAGAAACATAACAAGCCTTTAAAATGTGCACAAATACACAAGACACAAGGAAAAAGATGTGACCCCTGTTAACCACACTGGCAAAAGCAGTTCTGAATGCTTAGCAATGAGGAGAACATTTTTAACTTTACTCGGAGCAGCCATACTAAATGGCGTGTTTTAGGCTACTGACACATTTCAACAATAGACATTCCAAAGACAGAATTCTAAATTTACATTTTTTAAAATGAAGGAAACCTCTATAATTTGTATATATCACTTTCTTGGGGTTTTTAGAGTCCATATCTGATGTATGGACGTGATACTGAATAATCAAAGGGAGCAGCTGTGCACATCGCAGGGTCTTCTTGTAATTGACTAAGTAAATGAATATAACCTGAATAATGAATATTAACTTCATCAACTGTAATGCTTGGTACACTGCTTGTGCACACAAGCAACCAGCAATCAGGAAGACGCTGCGGTGGATGAAAGCAAAATTTCAATTAGTGTTAATGTGTGCACTTTAGAGCTGTGAACTGACAGATTTTGTTACTTTTTAACAAGGTCAGACATGAGAAAGTGAATGAGGTTATTTTTGCAGGGCGATCTTTGAGCATCATTGAAATCACCATATGACGACCTGTTTTAATCAAGGCAGCCGTCTACGCTGAACTGCTCACATTTAATTTATGTAACGTACTCACCGCAGAGCCCACAGCTGAAATATCATCTTCAGGTCTACTTTTCTGCATGCTGAACACGAGACTACAGCGAGTATTTGTTTGGTAGCAAGCACTGTCATAAACTTTCAGCAAGCACCAATGAAAGCCTGTCTCTCTTTTCTTTGCATCCACCCTCCATCGTAGAAAATAAAAATAAAATACAAAGAACGGATTATTGCTACAAGTCCCACCACTCACTCTCAAATAAACCTGAAAGAAGTATTTGGAGTTATAGGCTTGGAGAGGAAAGTATGAGGGGCTTGTGCAGGACGTCAGGCAGGCCCAGCATTTCATCAATACTCCCGAGCTCAGCCTGGCCCTGGGGCTGGGCTGGGCGTGGTGATAGAGAGGCTCACCCTCAGCTAATGACAGGGCCCACTGTACTCGGTATAAATCACCCTGACCCATAAACAACATCTCCACACACTGACAGGCACATACACTTTTACTGTACACACCTATGCAGACACACTGACCTCAATGCAATAGACATTTGTGAGACACACACTTGACAGAGGCCTGAGTCCGGGACAGGGCTCTGCTGTGTCTTGCCTGGATGTCGAGGTATCTCTCCTTCCAGTCTTTGCAACTACAAAACTGCCAGCTGTCATCCTGAAATGCTTCATTTGAGCCAGACATTTACATTTGAAATCATTTTGCATTCTTGCTTGGAAACTTTTCCAGCAAGAGAAATAGGCATTAAAAGGATGATGAATGCAGAGTGACAAACACATACGGACCAGAAAGCACAGATTATGGGATGGTGGCGTGAGACTGATGTTGTTTGGTGCTGCATGAGGGAAAACAAACAAATGTACAAATACCTTCCTGTTTCCTGATAGCAAACATCAGCCATCTTGGCTCAGATGTGTTTGTGACTCTGCATTCTGAAAGGGCATTATGCTAATGCACTGACCTTTAGATGTGGATGTGTTTGCCTGACTGAATAGGCCTTTCCTACTTTGCTCTTTACTTCACTCGGGCACACAATCTCCTAGCATTTTAATTAAAGGAAAAGCTGCCAAGAGAAAGGGGGTGGGGGGCGTCCCTGCCAACGCTATTTAAGGTCCAGAGTGTCATCTTCTTAGGAATTAAAGATTGGATGTTTCTGAGATGTGTTTGTTTCCTTAAATTTGTTATTATACTATATTCTAGTATTCCTTGCAGAAATACTTTGGTACGATTTTCTCTGGATCTCAGTCACCTCCACCAGAAGCAGAACAGATACAAAGCCAATTTTCCTTATTAGGTGTAGTTTTAATCAGTTCCTCTGGATGTCAAATTTCAGCCTCTTCAGCACTTCTGCAGGCCCATTGAGCAGGTTTGTGTTGAGCTTTGCTAAAGCAACAGCAGCTGGGCAGGTAAGCCAGAGTTACCATGGACTTGTGTTTGTTTAGGATCAGCTCAGGGAATACTTATCTCCACCAGATACAAGAACATTTTTCTCTAGGAAAATATACACTTGAGCTCTGATGAATGTCTTCTAGACTTACAGCACTCAATCCACTAACTTTATTTTTCATCTACTGACCCTTGTGTTTTCTTGTCACTTTTGGAAACAGGACCGATCTCAGAGTTCTTCACACTCCTCAGTGGAATTTGTCTTGTTGTATTGATACATTGTTTATAATAAATCTTGACGTGTGTATACTACCAAGTGTTGTAAATGAATATATAAAACTCTTCCGTTCATAAAAACTGCAGTTGTCATAGGATTCATCCGTGTGTTGACAAAGCTACATGAGACGAGAATACAGTTCACTGTGCTGTCATTTCATACTGTATTCTTCTACCGCATGAAGCTTTGTCTCTACCTGTGTCAGGTGTCAGAAATAGCTTTTTCATCTTTTCAAAGGTAGGGCTCACATGGTAATAAGCCCTCTTTCCTTTCTCCCATCTCTGCGCTGCCGTCTGCAGAGACCTGTGCCGTCAACAACGGCGGCTGCGACAGGACGTGTAAAGACACAGCTACGGGGGTGCGTTGCAGCTGCCCTGTGGGATTCACCCTCCAGCCTGATGGAAAAACATGCAAAGGTCAGTAAAGAGAAGATAGTGTGTGAATATACATGTGTGTGACTTATGTGAGTGGAAAGGGTTAGTTTACACGGTTCACACGACTGCTTTCTGAGTGATCCACAGCCAAACTCTGGCCTCACCATCCGCTTCACTTCGATCTGCACAAAGCTTCGTTCGTGGTCATTTGCTCTGCTGCTGCTTGTTGTTGGTTTTGCAGTTGAGCATTTCTCCCCTTCTGGGAGCCGAGCTATGACGTCAATGACGGTGGTCCGAGGAGAAGATGCTGCAGCGTGGGCCTTAACAATCCAAACACATTATTATAGCCTTTTGACTTTCCTCTAAACAAACAACCTCGTGGAGTAAGGCAGACCTCTGGGTCTGTGGCTGGGTTGGAGCCCAGTCCCACACAAGTCTTTATTTTTGTCAGGGCTGGACAAAGAAGCAACAAAAGGGCTTCAAGGTTTTCTGTTTTTGAACTTTTCAAATGCATAAAGAGGTTATAAAGAGCAGAATAGCGGTCCCAAACAATCTGAGAATGTGTCATCAGCTCTCATTTGAAGAAATTTGACTATCAACAAAATTATGTGATGTTTCATTCACACTAGAGTAAAAATGCAACCTTGTGATTAGCAAATAAAAATGATTTCTCAGTAATTGCACTGAATGTCACTGATATACAGACTGGTGAAGGTTTGCAAAAAAACTGCTAATTCATAAAAACACATCTGTTTGGAAAAGCAATTCAAGTGTTTGCCAGCTGGTTCTAAATCAAGGCAAGTTTGACAAGCAGTGTATATCATTTTGTGTTGAATCGCCATCCTGTTACAGTTTGTGGAGGAATTTCTTTCTTATTTTAGATCTGTGAGGGTCTGGCTCCACTGAATTTAAGTGATTAGTGTGAATTTCTGTTTAATGTGAATTAGTGTGGATGCATTCTGTCGTGGCTGTGTGCAGGCAGGAAGAGAGGACCCAAAATGCAGGACTCACAGAGGCAGAAGTAATTCAGAAAACTCAGCTTTATTCAGTTCAGTTCAGTTCAGTTCATTTTTATTTCAAACATTTCAAACATGTGCCTTCACAATCATTACAAAATATCATTCCATTATTTGTTTGAAAAGGAGTAGGCTGAAGTATTTACTTATTTGTCCCTACCCCCTCAAGTTTTACCTCTCATTCATTTAATTTTTTTTTTGTCTTAAATTTGCTGGGATAGACTGAACAGAAAAACGAACTAAACTGGGAATACGGAACAAACTAAACAGGTAGACAGGCTGGCAAACAGAACACACAGTGAAAGAGGGTACGACGCGACAACGAGCAGGGGAAGACGCAGACACTAAATACAAGAGGTGAACAGAGCTAAGAGGAAACAGCTGGGAGACACGGCTGACGCTGATTACACTGACGAGACAGGGAGCGCACAGAGCTGAACGCACAGACATAAGGCACAGACCTACAAAGTAAAACAGGAAGTACACAACAGACAGAGCGAGCCAGACGAGACAGAAGTTACCAGACGCAGACTCATGAGCAGACAGAATAACACCATGGACAGACAGAAGGAACACAGAGAAGAGGATAAACACTGGAAAACCAAATAACAAAACCTAACAACGAGAACTCAGGAAGTACTGCCAAAACTAGGAGGCTGAAATACTAGGACAGAACCCAAAACAAACAGTCATACTTCGTAATGAAATCAAAAGTAAAAGTACAAAACCAAAAACACTGGGCCACCGACCCAGGACCGGGAAATATTTGGCAATAGGTTTGCAATTTTTTGCAGTTTATCACAGTTAAACTTCATATTATCATGAACAGACCTAGTCCCACATCGCCGAAATATTTCAAGAAAGCAGCAAGTAAAGCAAACAATATAATATCACGTCAGCTTCACATGGAATCATCTCCTTCTGTCACAAACCATCTCTGATACTCATCTCTATTCCACCCTGCCTGCACTCTCTTCTTCACCCACCTGTCCTATGCAGTGTCCACTGCTGTTGATTCTCTGTGTTCAAACTCATTGCCACTCTTATACTTGATTCTCACATTCTGTCGGCCTCTGTTGACTTTCCTCTTTTCTCCAAAGCATCCCTCCTCCTCTCCAGACTGTAGCCTGTTCCCTACTTTCACTATAGATCACAATGTCATCTGCAAACATCACAGCTTGTCACAGAGACTCCTGCCTGACCTTGTTTGTCCCGTCCGTCACCATTGCAAACAAAAAGGGACTCAGAGCTGATCCCTCATGTAATCCCACACCCACTCTGAAACCATCTGTCACTCCTACCATCCCACCCTCACATGCTTCTCTGCCACTCCTGACTTCCTCGTGCAGGACCACAGTTCCTCTCTTGGCACCCACAGAGACACAGTGCAACTCCTGTGTTTCTCCATCAACACTCTTTCTCAGCTTTTAGTCCTTTACCTTCTCTCACTTCCTCAATTTGATTTTCAAAGTCATCCCACACAATGCCATCCAGTTACATTCTTCTCTGTGTGCACCTTCCTCTAATTTTATATGTTATGCTATGTCGATTCCTCTTCTTAAAGTGTTCAACAGCCATTTCCATCCTTTTTGCAAATTCCACCACCGTTGGCATTTCTCTCCTTTACACCATACCTATCCATGAGCTCGATTTCCTTCTCCTACATGTCTGTTGGAGTCTGTCCCAAACAAAGCAAACCTCCTTTGCAGACACTCTGCGCCACTTTTCTATAGAGTAGCTCTCGCTTTTAACTAACATCCAACTTGGAGTCATACGCACTGATGCTCATCACAGCACGCCTTCGATTTCCAGATTCAAAACTAATTATGCTGTCTGACAAAGTCTACACCTCCACAACAGTTAAGGATGCCTCTGGGAGTAAAATAGGCCATCTACTCAAAGATCAGTTCCCTCGCTCTTTTTACTGAACTCCAAGTTGCCCCATTTTAATAAATGTTAAGCTTCTGTGGGAGTGTTGAGAGTCACAGTCACATACTCTTCCTTCAGGATTACTCCCACTCCATTTAGCTTCCTATGGTACGGTAGAACAGTTTGAATCCACCATCCTTGCTTCCCTTGATGGTCCTTACTCTCACCTCTGCTCTTCTGCTTCTCACTGCCTCCAAACACACGTCCTGCCTCTCCCAGTCTTTGGTCTTTGGCTGACAGTAGCACCTTCTCTTTGTGTAATTTCACCTTGCTGACCCATGCCAATTACATATCAGTAAAGATTTGCCTGAAAATAAAAGTTTATTTTGGTGTGTAATAGAAGATGTGAACAGGTTTTCAGTGTGGTACGTTCTGTGAGTGATATCTGATGTGTAGAGAGACATTTACAGTTAACAGCCCACAGGTGATGGACGTGAGATAGAATCAAGGAATTGGTCATTTTGCACAAGGCAAGATGTCCAGAATCTGGACAGCTGGTCTTATGGAAGTATGGTCCTATAATTTAAAATACTGTGTGCGTGCATGTCTTCCAGATAAAGTGTGTCTGCAAAATGACTGTGGGGCAGTCTGAGAATGTGGCATGTAGGTGTGTGAAATTCTGGAGCCAGAGCTGTCTCAGGCCTGCGAGGCAGACGACGTGTCGGCAAACTTTGAGATGTTTGAACAGTGAGGCCCACGCTGGCCTTTCTCGCTCTCTCTCTCTGACACACACACACTCTCTTCTTCGACCTTGATGTGCACACGCTCACACAGACAGCACCATCCAGCTGCAAATACAGTAAATACATCCATTTACCTGCAAGAGCACTCAACCACAAGGCAAGACGAGTCAGCGTAATTTCAAATGATTAATTAATAATGTTAGCCAGCTTTGACTGGATGCATTGATTTAACATGTTATTGTTATGACACAAGAGCTTATATAAAACTAGGTCAACTAAGTCAAAAAACAAGAAAATGAATGGAAAAAATTATCAAAAAGCAAACGTGGTGTAAGTGAAATCATTAAAAAGAGAACAATGTAAAAATTAAAATCAACAAATCAAGCAGTAAAAAGGATGAAATCCATAATTTATGAGTAATAAGATGACAAAAAATGTAATAATAAAAAAGCATGATCTGTTATTGTCACCCTGTAGCTTGTATATTGTTGACTTTAATCATTTCAATGTACAATTTCTCGGGTATGAATTTCATAACAAATTTTAAACTAATTAGCTTTACTAATGGGTACCTGAGTTTCATGTTAAATGCTGTTGGAGCATCACTGATCTTTGAGTTTGTAAAGCTGTGTGGTCCCACCCTGTGTTACAGTACACTCAGAAAAATAAAGGTGCCAACTGGAACCAAAAGTGGTTCTTTAGACTGATGCCATAGAAGAACCTTTTTTGGTGCCACAAAGAACCTTTCAAACAATGGTTCTTTGAAGAACCATTTCTTTCAGTGGTTCATTGAAGAACCTTTAAAGGTGCCCCAAAGAACCATCAAGAAATGGTTCTTTGGGGCACCTTTAATGGTTTTTCCAAAGAACCTTTTTAAAAATGGTTCTTTAAAGAACCATGAAGCCATCTGAAGAACCATTTAAGAACCATAATTTTTCTGAGTGTACAGTACTTAAATTATGTCACAACTTGATTCCAGTGTGGGGGCACTTGATTTTATCATAATGCCGAGGTAGTAAGCAAGTGTTTATTTCTCCATTTATATGTCATTACTTGTTCTTGGTATGTCATTTATGCTGATATGTTTATCCATCTGCTGCTGTTACACCATGTACAGCTGTCACTGTTGTATGTGGTGTAACCATGTACTGCTAACAGTGCTACTAATAATCTCTGTGTTCATAAATGGTTTACTAAGGAGGAGTAATGCTATATAAATGATATTTACTTGCTAATACCTTACTAAAAGCTTAATAGCGTGACTGATTTATTTCATTATGACAAACTGCACAATAGTACAGCTGGAGGGGGTCACAGTAGAACCGATGCTCCTTCTTTGCTCAGCCATAAATACTTGAAGATAAAGTCACATAAAGATGTAAGACCTGCTTTTGTTTTGAGGTACCTGCTGAAA